TTTGACAATGAATGCAACCCCTTCTTCAATTTGTCACTATTCACAGCATAACAAACCATAAGACTGTCTGATTCAAAGTGGCCAATACCTGTTTACTTTACTTACAGCTCACTAATCCTAGAATATCAATCTTTATCCATTCCATTCCTTTTTTTTTTTTTTACAACTTCCAACTTCGAACCTTCTGCGTTCTGATTATTAATGGCTGTTGGCAGTCATTTCTCATCATTTTGAGTTATGCCCCACCTGCAAATGAAGGTTCTGTAGACTTCATTAGAGTCAACTCTACTTTGTGGATACAGTCCCTTTCCAGTCATATTTGAGTGTCTTCCCACCTGATGGGCTTATCTTCCAGCAATATAGCTGACAATATTTCACTGCTATTTGTAAGGTTTTTGGTGGCTAAACTTCAAATGTGGTCTGTCTCCCCTTCTTCCAAGTCTCTCTCATTCGGGAAGTTCTACTGAAACCTGTCCACTGTGGGTGACCCTGCTGGTATTTAAAATACCTGTAGCACAGCTTCCAGAATCAAAGCAATATGCAAGTAACTACAGTATGACAAGCTGACACGATGAGTAGCAGAAATGTGCAAAAGCATCACTGACATTTGAAATACTGTGAGCATGACCAAAATGCGAGCACAGTGCTGCTGTTGGAAAATGGTGCCAATGGACTTGCTGGATGCAAGGTTGTCATAAAGCTTCAATTCGTCACAAGTGCAGGATCTGTACAGCACAATGAAGTGAAACACAATCACTCAGGTATGCCTGTATTAGCTCATTGAATCCTCACACCCATCTGTGAGTCACATGCTAGGTCCTCATTTTTACAGGTGGTGAAACTGAGGCAGAGAGATTCTGTCATTTCTCCAAAATTACTTAAAAGGCTAGTGAGTGACAAAGCTGGGCTTTATACCTAGGTGGTCCCAATTCACAGCTTTACATTTTTCTCTCTCTTAAACACACATGCACACACTCAGAGTCTCTCTCATACACATAGACTATCTCCCAGAGCAGTCTCTTTCACGCAATCTGTCACACACACACAACACAGTCTGTTTCACACAGTGTGTCACACACACAACAAAATGTCACATAGTCTCACACACACACACAGTTTCTCTCACAGACTTTTCCTCTCACACATAGTGTCTCTCCCACTCACTCAGTCTTTCTCTCTCCTACACACACATACACTAACCCCCCTCAGCAGAATGTCTGCTACTCTAAGGACTAACGTGTTGTCCCAAGCACCATACTGTGTTTGAGGTACAGGGGAAGATAAATCTGAGTTGAAGGAGCCTATGACACAGGGACAGTCAGTTGGTGAACCAGATGTTCTTCTGAAGCTGGTGAGGTTTGGATGGGGTTGCACATGGTAGGAGAGCTGAAGCTGGGGGCATGGGTGAGGACACTGAGGGACGTGGTACCAGTCAAGAAGAGGGCTAAGAGGGACTTTTTGAAACATCTAAGAAATGAATAGAAAAACAAGCACCAACAAGGAACTGGCTTAAAAAAACAATTTTAAAAAACCACCAGAAAATAAGGCTATTATAGCAAAAAAAAAAGAGAGAGAGAGAGAGAGAGAGAAGAGGCCAGAGGGCCAGATTCCACAAGGAAAGATGACATCAGAGCACCACTATGTGCCAGGCTGTGTGGGATGCTGTCCACGCATCATCCTGCCCAGGTGACCTCATGTACAGTGATGTAGGTGAAGAGAGAGCATGTACCTGCAGCAGGAAGAGCTAGAGACCTCTAGGAAGAGTAAACACAGCAGAGCGAGAGGGGAGGACAGAGTCAAAAAGAGAACTTTATCTGGTTTTAAGTTTGGGAGATTCTGATGCTGAGGGGGTGGATCTAAAAGAGAGGGAAAGGCTGGGAAGTGAGTGGGCTGGGGAGGTTGTGGGGCTCAGGAAGAGGCGAAGTCTCAGAAGGGCAGTCTTTCCTGCCATTGTTTTGGGTTTTTTTTTCTGTTTTGTTTTCATTGTAGTTATTGTTGTTGTTTAAAGTAACAGAAAAGATAATAATAAAGATGACAAAAACTGCAAAAATACTCCAGAGGAGAAAGAAAGAAGGCTGATGAGGGATTTCTTGTCTTTGGCCTCTTCTTTTCTTTTGGGAAATGGGAAGCAAAATGGCCTTCTGAGGACGATGGTGAATCGGGAAGGGGAAGAAAAGACATGGGGTAGGAGAGGGAAGAAGCATTTCTTAGAAAACAACAGCCTAGGAGGAACATACAGCAAAGCCCACATGGACAGCAGCCACCAGAGACACAGAACTCCTCTCTCTCCAGACAGACACCACTGTCCCCCTTCTGCGGTGTGCTGGGGAGGGAAGAGGCTGCACAGCAGAGCTCTCAGGAGCACATCCTCACACCAGCATTACCCACAGGCTGGGGAGCCTTCTTACAGAAAGGGCAGAAACTAACCTAGCACTTAGGACCATCCCTTCCTGTGAACACTGAACCTGCCCCTACTATGTGGCCCATGGGAAACATCAAGAAGAAAAGAAAAAAGGCCTGTTCCCGTGGCATTAGCACTGCAGTGAGCACACACAAACCATAAGAAACCAGCCCTCACCAGCTGAAAACCTCACAGAATTAAGCAGCTAGAGGGGTCCTGTAAGAGCTCTGGTAGCAGAGTGGGTAAACGTCAGGCTGCTAACCTCAAGGTCAGCAGTTCAAAACTGCCAGCTATTCCGTGGGAGAAAGATGAGGCTTTCTGCTCCCGTAAAGATTTACAGCCTCAGAAACCCTGTGCAGGGTCGCTCTGAGTCAGAATCTACTCCATGGCACAACACCACCACCAGGGGTCCTGGTATGGCACTGTAGGGTAAGCAATGGACTTTTAACTACAAGATCTGCAGTTCAAACCCACCATTCACTCCTCAGAAACCTATACAGGGTTGCTCTAAGTCAGAACTGACTTGACGGTATGTAACAACAACAACAAAGGCAGTTAAGCAATCAAATGGCGATTGCGTGGTGTCCATTGCCATCCACGTCTCATGGACAATAGAGAGACAGAGGTTGTGGGGAGGGCAGGGGCTTGAGGTGGAGACATGGCCAAGTCCAAGAACCACCCCACACAAACCAGTCCCAAAAACAACCCAGAAATGGCCTCAAGAAACCCCATCACAACAATATGAGTCTCTTAGGCGAGGGACCCTAAGAGTCTGAGGAACATGCACTTTGCCAAGAAGCATAACCAGAAGGGCCTGAAGAAGATGCAGGCCAACAGTGCCAAGGCCACGGATACACGTGCTGAGGCCATCATCGCTCTCGGAGAGCCCATGGAGGTCAAGGCCATGGAGCACATGCCGAGGCCATCCATCCTGGCTCTTGGAGAGCCCATGGAGGTCAAGGCCATGGAGCACACGCCGAGGCCATCATGGCTCTCGGAGAACCCGTGGAGGTCAAGGCCACGGATGCACGTGCCGAGGCCATCCAGGCTCTCTGAGAGCCCATGAGGTCAAGCAGAAGTTCCCAAAGGGTGTCAACGGCAAGCTCAGTTGACTGGCCTAAGCTGCCCATCCCTAGCTGGAGATGCATGCTCGGGCACACACTGCCAAGAGTCTGAAGCTCTGTCAGCCAAAACCCAAGGCCAGTGTTATAAGGTCTCAAGTCAAGCTCTGGCTATATAGATCAGGCTCTCAAAGGTGCCCAGGCTCCCAATCTGAGATGGAGTAAAGCTCCTCCCCATTTGAGGCCAGAAGGCCTGGCATGACCCCTGGAACTGCTGTCCTCCTCTGCTGTTTATACAAATACACCCGGGACAGGAAAAAAAAATCAAATGGCATGCCACATTCGGTAAATGTACTGCAAAAGGCCTCTTTAAAATGAAAGAGCAAAGAAATCAATGAGATGACTAAAGTGTGCCTCACCTTAACCACAGACTTTCCACCCGCTGCACTGCATGTAAGCGTGGGACAGAGAGAAAGGCCGGCGGGAGAATGATGCATTGGAGCGTTGGTGCTGATGAAGAGCAGTGATACACCGCAGACTGCCAGTCTTGGCAGATACACAACCAGAATGCTCCTAAGAGTCACTTCCTTTGGCTATGTCTTCCTGGGAGATCCCAGTCTTTAAGAAAGGACATCATGGTTGATAAAAGTAAGGGAAGCATGGACTTACTTACTCATCTGTAGTAAACCATTTCACATTTTTTCACCATATCCACGATTCTGCTTCCAGGGCTGGCATCTCTCTCCCAAGCCCCCACCACCACCACCTTCCCACAGAGTCAAAGCCTCTTTTCAAATTTATAATCCGTAACAGGGATGTGCTACCCACAGTAAGTAACGTAAGCATAAGCTTACTTGTGCACGCTTACTAATCTCTAGTGAACAGCTCATGTGAAATATTTCACCACAGATTGGTAAATAACACAAGTGTAGAGCTCTGATAGCATAGTAGTTACGAATCGGACTGCTAACCTCAAGGTCGGCAGTTCAAAACTACCAGCGGTTCCATGGGAGAAAGATGAGGCTTTCTGCTCCTGTAAAGATTTACAGCCTTGGAAACCCTGTGCAGGGTCGCTATGAGTCAGAACCAACTCCACGGTACTTAACAACAAGAAGAAGCCTGTGCTTACCTTGCTTATTGGGTAATCTGCCCCTGTCTCCATGAGATGGTGCAAGATCAGGTCATAAGTCACTTTGAGTCAGCTGACTCAATGACAACTAACAACAACAGACTTTTTACCAGGTGTGGAGCTACAGGGTAATCGCTGGACAGTTAACCACAAGGTCAGCAGTTCAAACCCACCAGACACTTGTAGGAAACCCTGTCACTATCAGCCAGAAAAGACTCGACAGCACTTAACAACAACTCTGCCCCCCAAACCATCAGTCATCCACCTCAGTGCCTTTGACATCTTGGCCAGCAACAGTACGACCACCAACCACCGTCCCCCCACCTTTGTGACACACAAAAATGTCCTAGACACTGCCCTGATTGAGAGCCATGCTCTAGAAGTGACTCTAAAATAATGCTCTCCTTACCTGTTAAGGACTTCATAAACTTCTGAAAGATTTGAAACCCTTGGAAAATTCAGTTCCTATAATTACAGAAAACAAACCATGGAAACCGCAGCATTTACATTGTTATCATCTGCTTCCAGTGTTATCAAATAATCTGGAAAATGCTTACTCCTACAACTCGCTCTTTACAAATATTTTAACTGTTCTCAGTTCTTAATTAGGTGCCAGGGTCCCTAGTGTGCTTGGGTTTTCTATAAGGGACTCAATATCCCAGACTAGGGAGAAATACACGCACAAACCAACTCATACCATCTCCCTTAGAACACAAGTTTCGAAGGGTTTCTGTAAACACAGGAATCCAATGTACCAGACCCAGGCCAAGAAACCCACACGGAGAACATCAGGCAGGACAGCAACTATGGAGTAGAGTTTGGTCTCATCTTGTTGGAAAGGAGCCCACATCAGTTCCATCAGCTCAGTCCCAAATCCTTCCCATTATATACATCCCCTGGAGACTGGCAGACACCATAGTGCGCTCACCTCCCTAAAAAATACATCAGGTTCAAACACTAGATGCTCTGTGGGCCAGATGTACCTGACAACCATTCCCATTTTGGTGGTTCCCTTCCAGAACAGTGATCTGGCTCCTCCCCCTCTTCTCTGTTCCTCAGTTTACTTCTCAGCAGCACTGACATCACTGGGTCCCTCTGCTGCCCTGTGGACAGGGCAGCCCTGCCACACATTAGAATCACCTAGGCCCCACTGAAATCTGAGGAGAAGCTGAACTCAGCTTCTAGGCCCAGGTACCATGATTTCCCTTCCAAGAGATTCTACTATGCTATCGGGGGCTGAGAACCCACTCCCTTAAAGCCTGATGAAGAAGATGCTTCTCAAGAGTCATTGAGAGGGAACATAACCTGATAGCTCTTTTAAACATTTTGCAAATATTTACTAGACATGTATCAAACTCTAAATACATGGAGTTCTGCTATCTGATCTGAACAAGCATCTGCACGACATACATGTAAGTGAAAACATAGAAACATGAAGGAAGGAGGGGAGGAAGAAACAAAGACTTAAGTATACAAAGGTGTTTCAAAAAGTTCAAGGAAGGATTGAATTAGAAGACAATGGAATTTTTCCACAAATGATCTGAAGCCCACCCATATATAATACGCTAATATGAATACCGTGTGGTGTCAACATGCAAAAGGAAACGGATACCAGTTTTAAAACCTGAGGAAACGGTTTAAAGATTTTTTTTAAGAGAGAGAACGCTAAGTGGTCATGGGACTAGCAAAGCTCTCCTTAACCCAGAGAAGTGTTACCTTCCAGACAGCCTTCGTCACATTCTTGGTGTCAATGATAACAGGAAATAGGTGGTGGATGTTCTGCTTAAACTGATCATAGCTTTCTGAGGAGAAAGACCCAGAGAGTCAGAAGTGAGTTTATTTGTCGTTAAAAATAATAAGGAAAATTCTCCAACCTTGCTTTAAATAAGCAAACAAAACAAAACACAACAGGAACTGAAAATGTCCTCAATCTTACTGTTAAGGAATTCTAGTTTCAAACCAGCCTGCCATTACAATATCTAACCCAAACCAAATCCACTGCCAGGGAGTCGACTCTGACTCATAACAACCCCACAATAGGGTTTCTGAGGCTCTCAATCTTTAGGGGAACAGGAAGTCTTTATCTTTCGCTCAAGGGACTTGCTAGTGGATTTGAACTGCCGACCTTGTGATTAGTAGTCTAGTGCTTATTCTATAGCACCTCCAGGGCTCTTTATAATACATAAACTAACAGTAAGAAACAAATGGTTTCCACTGAGTCCAGATGCTACTGCCAGCATCAGCTAACTGAGTTTGGGACGTTTGAGCCAATGGAGTTAGGAGGAGGAGGGAGGCATGATTGGAAAGGCAGCTATGAAATCATCATTTGTAAATGACCACTGAGAGAAAATTCAAGAAAAATCAACTGAAGTTCATTACAATGAGAAGTCGCCTTGTTACATACACACATACACATACACACACACATTGGTGTATCTATCAAAGGTACACAGGAGTCTGGGTATGGCACTGTGGGTTACTGCAGCGGAATACAAAATGATTTCAATCACTAGGCTGGTAGTTCAAGCTCACCAGGCCCTCCTCAGAAACCCCATACAGGAGTGCTATGGGTCGGAACTGACTTGATGGCACTTAAACAACAACAACAACAACCCTCCCATTTCTTATTTTCCAAAGGCAGCTACTTTCCATTCTGATTCTTTTGCTATTTATTCCTATATATCTAAGTAGTACGCTTATGCTACTAGGTGACTTCGGGGTTTAGGCATTTAGTTACTGACTTCCCACTAAGTAGGGTGCTCACTGAGCCCTGCGTACCACTTCCACCATCACAGACACCCCCCACAACTATGGCGCATTCATCACAGAACACTGGGGGATAATCTGCAGTAACACTGCCTTTCTTGAACAGCCAACAGCTGTGGTTCTCCCAGGGATCGTTTTGCTGTTTGCTTATTATTAACTTTATCTCCCAATCGTCTCTTAATTAGCGCTAACTCGGGTTTTGAATCAATTCATTGGCTGGGGAAATCTCTCCTGGAACCTTCTCACCCCTTTAATCTAGAGAACTGTTCTCTTTATAGTTAACAGTTTAATCACCACAACACTTCTATGGCATAGGTACTCTTGTGGTTCTCCTGGTAGTTGTCAATCCAATCCTCCCTCACAGAGCTGCCCCTTACAGATCTCCAAGGCTATAATCTTTAGGAAGCAGACTGCCACATCTCTCTCCCATGGCAGAGCTGGTGGGTTTGAACTACCGACCTTTCAGGCAGCAGCCAAGGGACCAATCATTGTGCCACCAGGGCTCATCATGGGTACTATTATTATCCACCTCTGACCGGTACGGAAACTGAGAACAGAGGGGTTCCAGGAACTAGCGGGAGATGACACACACATTACATGGAGGGGAGGGCGAGGAGTCCAAGCAGGGCTCTGGAAATCGTTTTAACCCCTAGCGTAGTGGTTACGAATCGGGCTGCGAACCTTAAGGTCAGTGGTTCGAAACTACCAGCCGCTCCGCGGGAGAAAGATGAGGCTTTCTACTCCCGTAAAGATTTACACCCTCGGAAACCCTGTACAGGGTCGCTATGGGTCGGAACCGACTTGACGGCACTTAACAACAACAACAATCCGCCCTATGCCCAACAACGGACTCAGTCATGGTATGGCCCACAGCAGTATCACACAGCCAGTTCAAAGGACATTGTGGAGTTCTTTAATGACGTAAGCAAATGGTCTGGGTAAGTGAAAAAGAGCCAACAGGTAGTGTCATCAAATACGGAAAATCTCACATCAGAGGGGAAAAAGTCTTAGGACTAGAGCTGAGGTCACCACACATCTCTGGTCTTGTCTAGCTGTGCACAGGGGGAGTGACCGATGTCCTAATGGGGGAGGGAGAGCCTGTTCCCAGAAGGGGTGTTTTTCCTTCCGGAAGTCTCCTTCTTCCAGCCTAGGAAGACAGTGACAGACGGAGCAGAGCCAAGGGCCTGCCTGACCTCTGCACACACCACCACCCCCTGGGGACAGGTGTATGTCGGGAGCTGCCTCTGAGCACCCCTAGGGACCCCTGCCCTTGCCATATGGTACATGGTGATAAGGGGGGTGGGGGGAGACAGGAGACCTGTCCCTGTACCTGGAAGAGGCCTGAAGAACTTCTCGTGAAGGTGCAGCAGATCCACCATCATGTTATGTCCCACTAAGGGCTACGTGGAGCAGACCAATCAGTCAGAGGTGGCATTTACAAAAACACAATAGACACCATACATTAATAGCAGTTTCTTACAATGGATTTCACTTTAGAACCTACAAGACTAGTCACATGATCATCATTCCTCACCTCCAGTCCACCCTCACAAGAGGCAGTCAACTGCTTAACTGCCACACACACACACACACACACACACACACACAGAGCAGTGGAGACTTGGGGCAGGGTCCCAGGGGGAGCCTAGACTATAAAGCAGACACCTGCAGCCCTCGAGTCGCTTTAGATCAATCAGTACTGAAATGCTCGTTCTCCTGGAAGGTCCAAGAAAGAACGATGTTTCCCGTGGGACAGTCTTTCCTCGGCTTAACCAAGCAGGACTGGGTGAAAGCAAAGGTAGCTAAATGGAGTCACTTATCTTACAGGACCTACAGCACCCACAGGATCTACAGCACCCACACAACACTGCTGGGGTGGGGATGGGAGTGTGTCATCAAGTCAAGGGTTCCCGGGACTGTAAACGTTTACAGAAGCAGAAAATCTCACCTTTCACCCACAGAGCGACTGGTGGATTCAAACTACTGAGCTTGTGGTTAGCAGCCCCATGTGTAACCCACTACGCCATCAGGGCTCCACAAAAAAAAACTGCTAAAGGACAACAAAGGTGATTTTCCCCCTACCTTCTGGGCTTTCACCAGCATCTGGAAAAAGACTGAAAACCCCTTTGCAGACAGAAGAATCTTCTCCTTCCAACAGTTCTCTCGCTCACAAGGGCTGTTCTCCAGACACCAGCGGTGCTGCAGACTCACTTTCTTCACTATCACCTGCCATGAAAAGCAGAAACAAGATCCCAGACTTCCGGGTTAGTGGAAAGGAAGCCAAGAGAAATGGTTCTTCATCTCAAAAACAAACAAAGAAGCAATTTGGTCAAAACAGAGAGATGCAGAAGCCACTGCGACTCCCCATCCCACACAGAAACTCACTGCTTGGCCCTTGAGCGCCGTCCAGATGTTGGGGAGGGCTTGCTGCAGCACTAACTGGACCTCAAAGGCCTGGAACCCTGCAGCAAGGAGACACAGACTCTCACAGATGTGCACTCCACCCTAGAACAGTATTCCACTTCCTCAGGAGGTAACGCCACCGAGAGAAAGAGAGACAGAAACAGACAGACAGACTGTCTGCACTAGATGGCATGAGGGGAAAAGGCAGCTAACGATGGATTGCTACACAGACCTCTTTAAAGTGTTCAACAGCAAAGACAGCAGTTTGAGGACTAAGGTACACCTGACCCAAGCCATGGTATTTTCAATTGCCTCATGAAAGTTGAACAATGCTAACTTGAAGACTGTAAAAGAACCAATGTATTTGGATTATGATGCTAGAAAAGTTTATTAAAAGTACCAGAGGCTGCCAGAAATGAGATCTGTCTTGGAAGAAGTACAGCCAGAATGCTCCTTAGAATCCAGGATGACATGACTTTGTCTCTCCTACTTAGGACATGTGATCAGGAAGGACCAGTCCCTGAAGAACATCCGGCTTGGTAAAGGGGAGGGTCAGTGAAAAGGAAGCTCCCCAATGACATGGAATGACACAATGGCAGCAGCACTGGGCACAAACGTAAATAACTGTTGGAAATGGTACAGGACCAGACGGTGTTTCCTTCTGATGTGCATAGGGTCACTATGAGCTTGAACCCATTTGACAGGACCTACACTCTGGAAGTGTAGTGGTTACAAATCGGGCTGCGAACCTTAAGGTCAGCAGTTCAAAACTACCAGCTGTTCCGCGGGAGAAAGATGAGGCATTCTGCTCCCGTAAAGATTTACAGCCTTGGAAACCCTGTACAGGGTCGCTATGGGTCGGAACCGACTCCACAGCACATAACAACAGCATCAGGTTTGCCTGCAGCTCACAAGCCCTCATAATCACAGGTTCTCAATGTTGCTGGTCTCAGGGCTACTCTCCAAGTGACTGAGGACCCCAGGAGTTTTAGTCTGTGAGAGTCAGAAAGCCACTGTCATCCAGTCAATTTCTACCAAGAGAGGCCCTGCAGGAGAGAGAACTCTCCCCATTGGGCTTTTGAGACCGTAATCTTAATAGAAGCGGACTGCGTCATCTTTCTCCTGAGGAGCAGCTGGTAGGTTCAAACAACCGCCCAACACATAACCGGCTGGGCATCAGGGCTCCTTGTGAGGATCATAGCTATTGATACCTATCTAAATAAGCATTTTGAAATTTTCTTTTAAAATAACCATAAATCTATGCTACATGAGTAATGCTATTACTGAAAACGTAATTTTTTTTTTTTTCACTCAACAAAAAACAATTTAGTGAGCTGGCAGGCACTGTTTTATTACATTTTTGCAAACCTCTTTAAGATCTAGCTGGAATCTTTTATCTGCTTCTGCATTCAATCTCTTGTGATATGTTGCCGTCATGGAAGCACACATGACGATCCAACCAGGCTCAAACCTATGTGCAACGAAAACAGGGCAAAGAATTACTGGCCCTCTCAAAGTGGTCTGGGTCTTCTCCTTACTATAGCACCGAAACTCACCAGGTGACCCTTTCTTAAATCAGTTGCACTGTGGAATCTGGCAGTGAACTTCTCATGATCTGTTACATTAAAACCCATTGGTCTTTCTTGCAAGGTGTTCTGGTGGTGCTGATGGTTATGTGTTGGACTACTAACTGCATGAACAGCCGTTATAATGCACCAGCCAGCTCCCCGGGATAAAGAGGAGGCCATCTGCTCCCATAAAGACTACAGTTTTGGAAACCCGACATAGTCTCTCTGAGTTGGAAACACATGCAAGTTTTCGAAAACTCCAGGGTTTGATTGAAAGCTCATATTTTCTCACTAGTAAACACTGTCAGTTATTTAACTTGAAGCAATAGACTCCCTCTTTCATTTGAGACAATGCAAGCACCCACCTCTATAAAACCCCAGTTAGCTCTTCCCATTGGAGATGATGTTCCATGGAAAAGAGCAGCTAATCCAGCTGCTAACCCACGGCAGCCTGTGCATGTCACTAGGTGTGGAGCAGCATTATTTTAGACATGATTTTATTTCTTTGCACAACTATTAAAAATGTGCATAATGAAAGGTTGAGCTTTAATAAAATCAGTAATTATTATTACTTCACCAAACAGCTTCCTGAGTAAAATCGGTTTTTTGTTGTTAGCAGCATGTTTGCGGTCAGGAAGATGATGTGTCCTCTAGAACAGTGGGGACACAGGTATCAGGGGGTGACTCACGATGGCAAATGGCACCTGGTCTTGGGAGACATTATGACCTGGTGGGAAGGATCTCAGAGAACCCCAGGGGTCCACAGAACAGGCACAAAGAACTGCCCAGCTAGGCATGTGCACTGAGCATCCGCATTTCATTGTGGGAAAACTCAAGAGATTAAAGTAGTTCAGTTCTGAGGACACAAGGCACTCAGGGCCAGCAGACAGAGGATGGCGCTGATGGAATTTTAGTTCCTAACCCTAACAGTTGTAAGGATGGCGCAGCCCAGGCAGCGCTTAGTTCTGCTGCGCGTAAGGTCAGTAGGAGCCGGTACTAGCTGTACAGCACACAACAACATTAACAACAGGCCTGAATAGTTAAAGTCAGTCAAAAGCCTCCTGCTTTTGGATTCAGGTAAGAGCTTGATCTGAGCCCAGAGCACTCCCACTCAGTGACTGCTGGCATCAGACTCAGTGACTGGGTCCCTGCGCCCACACTACCCCCAGAGCCGGGCCAAGACAGGTCCTGTCCCAATGTTCCTCAGTCCTACCAGTGATGCCAGGGAGAGTCATGCAATCGCCATCTTCTGCCAGGCCCAGCCACCGGGTCACCTCATCAATCACCACCTTGATCTGGTCTTTGTTCAAAGAACTGAAAATGGGGCACAGAAGCAGAAGTGTTGAAGACACTGCGCTAGAACCAGATGTCAAATTACAACAGAACCAGATGTCAAATTACAAGCCGTCTGGGGGCTCCAGTGGCAACACAGTAACTAGTGAAGGTAATGAACTTCAAAAGACCATTTCCTCCAGGTCTCAGCAGACAACAGGAAGTCAGCTACTGTGTCTGAGTGCTTCCAGACAATGCTGGGAACAGCAGGGCCCATTCAGTGTCCACAGGACTTTGAGGAAGGAAGGGATGTGCCCCGTCCTGAGCACAGCTGTCAGTACTGGCTTCTTCATGCTTTCAGCGGTAACAGAGCACCTGCTGATGGCCTAAGGACAAGATGGAGGCACTGGTAAACATGCCGTCTCCAGTGCCAGAAATAGAAGAACAGCCTGTTATCTGGAGGTAAGGGAAGGCCTTTCACCAACATTTCAAAATCACAGAAAGTTAAACATTCAAATTATATTATTCCATTATGAAAAGCTACACTTTAATATGAAAGCCACGCACTAGAATTAAAACAACAAATCTTCAGAATGGCCTACGACCATGATCTGGGCCAGATAATTAGAATGGTTCACAGTTACAAGCTGTCTCGTTTCACCCCCTTAGTGATAAAGGCAGAGAAACTGAAGCCCAAAGAGCTGAAATGACTTTTCCACAAACACTCACCTAGTTCAGGCACACCAGCCTGCCCGCCCACCCTGGTCAGCCCGGAGCAGTTTTGGTTTGAAGTACTAAGTCTCAAGGCCTGGGGCTGACATTCTGCCCTCAGGGAGCATGGCAGAAACCACACACCAGAGCACTCCATCTATGTGGAGGCACGAGCTCAGAGGCAGAAGTTACCCAGGATGTAACCCTCTGAGCAGTCTGGAGGGCTTCTCTTGCTCATCCCGCTCATGTCACCCATTATGTACCCCGCTTTGATGGCACCCCAGTTTATCATGTGGAAACCTCAGCACCCCCCTTACTGCTGAGATCAGCCCCTAACTGCTCATGCAAGCTCGCCCTATCCCCAGGTGGAGGCCTCAAGCTCATAGAGCTCTGACTGCATCTCCAACCACCTGGCTCCTCTCGGACCAAAAATGCGCGAAAACAGCTCACAGCTGACAGGAGACACGGTACCTGCACTAACAGCTTTAATATGAAAAACAAGATACAAACGCGAGACTCTGAAGGCTAGGTCTGAGAGGGGACCAAGTTCAATGCTCCCACTTCCTCTCTGGGAGATGTTTGCACTCACCACACCCACCTGGAAACTCCCCTGCTGCCAGGGTCCAGGGCTTTTATCAGCCAGTTCCCAGGTGGGCTCCTGAGCCAGACTGGCACCCAACAGACTAGAGAGACACTGATTATAGATGGGATCCCTTAAGGTACTTCTTGTAAAAACCAGAGCTCTGAACTGGTTCATTCCAGTTCAACCTCCTGCTAAGAATTTTTCTTTCCACTCTAGATACAATGAATCTACATTTTAACAGAAGTCTACAGAAACAGCTCTGGTAGCGTAGTGTTTACAGATCAGGCTGCTAATCTCACAGTCAGCAGTTCGACACTACCAGCTGTTCGATGGGAGAAAGATGAGGCTTTCTGCTCTGGTAAAGATTTACAGCCTCGGAAACCCTAAGCAGGGTCATTATGAGTTCACTGCATGGCACATAACAACAACACAGAAACAGAAGAATACACAAGGATCCACAAGAACCACCTGGGGATCTTGTTAAAATGTCTATTCTGATTCAGTAGATCTGGGGTGGAAAGGAAAATATTCACCGCAGTTCAAAGTCCTGTCAAAAGCCAAGAGCGAGGGTCAGACAAGGAATTCAGTGCACCACATCCCTCAGAGATGCTAACAAAGACCAGGGCCAGGGCTCACGGCAAATCCAGTAGACAACCATTGCTTTTCAGACTCCGCCTGTGGCTCTAAAGGTCAGCACTGGGCTACAAACCACAAGGTGGGCAGTTCAAACCCAGCAGCTGCTCCTCAGAAACCACGTACAGTGTCACTATGAGTCAGAACTTAACAACACTGGAATGATGTTTCTGTCTCCTATTTGAGCACCAAACGAACAGTCTGGTTTCTCTTCATCCCTCATTTTCAGACACTAAAATCACACTCCACACTCGGTGCAGAGGGTAATTCATCGGGAGCTGAAGCTGATGGAGGAAGCAGCTGAATGCCCTTTCTCACCAGCAGCGTAGGAAGGGACACACCAGCCCGGCAGTGCATTCCCGTCCCAGTTAAATGAGCATGATACGATGTCACCTTCCTTGTGCCGACAGGTGCACAAAGACAGAACAACCACCAAACCCAAAGAAGACTTGGTGAGATCAGCTCTACCTGCGGACTTTCCAGTTCCCACTCAGGATACTGTGCTTAATTTTCTTCTCTTGGTCCTCATTCATATATGGGATGCCATTCTTGAGAAACTAAAGAACAAAGCAAGGAGACCAGTCGGAGTCTTTTCTGTGCCAGGAGGAAAAAGAATCCTTTCAGTTCGTGTGGATAAAAAAGACGAGAAAGAAAAAACAGACTTGCTCATGAGTTAGATCAGGCAACTTTTATAACAGTCCCACATCCCTCCTCCGAAGCCATACCTTGTTATAGTCAAAGCCATACTGATTCAAAAACTCAACACTAGATGCCTGGAAAGAGAATTCTGAATCCAAAATCCCAAACGTTGTAGGGAAGAGAAAGAAGTTACACGAATGGGAGACGTATCTAAAAAAAAAAAATGGGAAGAAACGCAAGGAGAAAAGCCAGAACCGATTTTTAAACTCAGGCTCATGAAAGTAGCTTGTGGAGCGGGCTCTTTCTTCTGCTGACGAAGTATGTTAACATCGACTACGTTTCAAGTAGGGTGCCTGGGGGTACAGTGGTGACCATTTGAGCTGACAGTTCAAAGCCACCAGCCACTTGGAGGGAGAAAGATGAGGCTGTCTGCGCGCATCAAGACTGACAAGCCTCGACAACATCATGGGGCACTTCTACCCTGGCCTACATATTTTAGGGTTCAAGTACTATGACTGGCACTGCAGGGCCTAGGAGGCGAGGCAGAAACCAGCCCTCAAGGAACAGTCTCCACAGAGACGCTGGGTCCCTTGTCCCTTGACTTCAGCAGGGAAGTGGCTGTGATCAGTCATCACTCTCATTACAACACACTCTGGTAACAGTCATCAAGAAGGTGCACAGAGCAATACCAGAGACAGGAAAGGGAGCACTAAGGCACAGGACAGGGGGTTGGCAAGGCCCTGCTTCCAGTCAGAAGACACGCTGGAATAACGGGGGGAATAGGGAGTCTCTGGGATATCGGGCTTTAGTGGTCCAGTGAGTACATTTAATAATAATGGTATTAACTGGTCTTCCTTACAGGCATACAAATATTATCCTATCACAGACAGCATTATATGTCAAGGTAGATGTTGAAATGTTCTTTTTGATGACGAATGAGGCGCCATCCCTCTTAAATTTGTCACTCCTGACCGAGTAAACCATATGAGGGAGAACTTGAAGGACAATAGTTTTAGTAAAAAAAATGGCAAGAGCCATACGTTTTGCAAAAGGTTTATACATACTTGTTGGGATTTCCTTTGATGCTGGAAAACAGAGACAACCCTAGAGGAATGAGAGTGGAGGGCGTGAGCTGACGTTACCTTCACAGACAAAACACTTTATTTTGAAAAGTGCTTCACATCCTAAGACACTACTCAGGGTTTTAGAATAGTTTAACATCTACAATTTTTTTAAAAAAAGAAACTTAGAAGTCAATCTTCAGACACATTTTTATTTCAGGGGTAACCTTCACAGACTCTCGTCTACTCACAGCAGAAGCATGATATAAGGGAGGAGCCGAGAACAATTCAAGCAAAAGCTCTCACTGGTTTCAGAAGCCAGTGCAGCCTGACAATTCAGAAAAGGTGACTGGTTTTCAAGGCACTAACTACAAAGTGGTTACAAGTCGAAACTACCAGCTGTTCTGCAAGAGAAAGGTGGGGATTCCGGCTCCCATAAAGATTTACAGCCTCAGAAACTATGCAGGGTTACTATGAGTTGGAACCGGCTCCGTGGCACATCACTACTACCTCTTAACAAACGGAGTCCTGGTGTGACACTGTGAGATAAAGTACTGGATCACAAGGTCAATTTGAACCACAAGGTTGCTGGTTCAAACTCACCAGTTGCCTGCTATGAGTCAGAATTGAGTCAACAGCACTTCACCACCACCACCACCTAACAAACAGTATGTTCAAATAAAATCTCACTTTTATAACTCTAATCCGAGGAGTAGTATGTGCTGCCTCCTGGTGGAGATACATATAACTGTGTGAATCTGAAAAAAAACTGACTTCACCCCACCAATCCTACCACCAGAATCCACTTGGGACATGACTCCCATTAAGTGTATCAAAACTCTTATCACCTGAAAAGTACTTTTCCCTTAATTTTAGTATGCCTTCCATTACTGAAAACACATGATATCAACAAAAAATTCAAAGCGGAAAATAATTGAATCATGAAAGGGTTGAAATAAAACAAGACAGAAATACAAAACTAGACAACTACATTAAAGCTACGCACCTACCCCCCAAAAATAAGTCAACCTATTGAGTGAAGGCAAGAAGGAAGATTAAAAACAGATTAGAAGCATGCAAACTATCAAATTGTCACTGACATTGAAATTACTAAAATATAAGTACGGACGGTTCTTCAAATAGAAAACCAAAAGCCCACTCTACACCCACTTGCCGTCGAGTCTATTCTGACTCACGCTGACTCTAGAGGACAGAGTAGAAATGTCCCACTGGGCTTCTGAGGCTGTAAAATCTTTGATCCAAAGCACACTGACTCATCTTCCTCCTGTGGACCAGCAGTACAACACTTAAGTCACTGTGCCACCCAGACTCCTTCAAGTGAAAAAGTAAATATTAAATTAACAATCTTCTAGTTTCAAAATTAACCAGAGAAAATATCAGAAACCACAAAGTCAGAGATTTATCAATTTCACTGCTTTAAAATGCACAGAAAAGTGTTGCCTAAAAGAGCCTGTACAAAGTCAAAGAGACTTCAAAATAGGGGAAATAATAGAAACTTGTGACCAAGAGCTGTTCCCCAATGTTTCAGAGGTCTGACAATTAGCAGAAACAGCAACAGAAAAATGGCAAAGGCCAAGGACAGACGATCCAGAGAAAACACACACACAATGCAACTCATATCAGAAGCAGGAGTCAACAAAACTCTGCCCGTGGCCTGTTTTAACTTTTACTGGAATAACAGCCATGCTCATTCATTTACATAATATCTATGGCTGATGAAATGAGGAAGTAAAAGAGCTCAATAGAAAGTTTCAAAGGACAGCTCAAGGAGACAAATTCAAGTATTATAATGAAATGTGCAAAGACCTGGAGTTAGAAAACCAAAATGGAAGAACCTGCTCAAACAATTCTCAAGATGAAGAACTGAATTAAAAAGACAAGAGTCCATTTATAATATTGAAGGATTTCTATGGACAAAATATTGAATGATGTAGAAAGCATCAAAACAAGATGGAAGGGATACACAGAGTCACTGTACCATAAAGCATCCGTCGATGTTCAACTGTTTCAAGAGTTAGCCTATCATCAAGAACCGCTGGTACAGCCACTGAAGGAAACAGTCCAAGCTGCACTGAAGGCACTGCTGCAAAACAGGACTCCAGGAATTAATTGATGTAATACAAATTGATATATGTCAATAAAGTGATGCAGGACTAGAGGTGCCCACTCATCTGTGCCAAGTGATTGGAAGACATCCATATTTTTGCCCATTCAAAAGAAAGGTGACCCAGTGGAGTGGTGAAATCATCAAACAATATCATTAACACCCCATGCAAGAAACATTTTGCTGAAGATAATTCAAAAACAGTTACAGCAGTACATCAGCAAGGAGCAACCAGGAATTCAAGCCCATTCAGAAAAGGACTTGGAACTCAGGATATTATTACTGACATCATATGGCTCTTGGCTGAAATCATTTGTGCTTTATTCACTATGCAAAGGCATTCAACTGTGTGGCTCATAACAAAATATGGTTAACAACCAAAAGCATGAGAATTCCAAAACACTTAATTGTGCTCATGAGGAAACCATACATAGACCAAGAGCTCATCATCCTAACAAAACAAGGCAAGACTGAATAGTCTAAAATCAGAAAAGATATGTGCTAGGGTTGTACCCTTTCACCATACTTATTCAATCTGTATGCTAAGCAAATAATCTGAGAAGACAGATTATACCAAGAGCGCAGCATCAGGATTGGAGGAAGACTCACTAGCAATCTGCTATGTGCAAATGATACAACCGTGCTTATTGGAAGCAAAGATAAATGCCGATGAAGGTCAAAGACCACAGCCTTCAGTATGGATTGCACCTCAATGTGAAGAAAACAAAAATCCTCACAACTGGACCAATAAATAACATCACGATAAAAGGAGAAAAGACTGAAGTTGTCAAAGACTTCATTTTGCTTGGATCCATAATCAACCCTAATGGAAGCAGCAGTCAAGAAATCAAACAACATATTGACTTAAGTCAATCTTCTTCAAAAGACTTCTTCACAGTGTTCATGAACAAAGATGTCATTTTGAGAACTAGGGTGTGCCTGACCCCAAGCCACAGTATTTTCAATCACCTCATATGCATGTGAAAATTGGACAATGAATAAGGAAGACTGTAGAAAAATCAATGCATTTGAATTATGGTGTTGGAGAATATTCAAAGTACCATGAACTGTCAGATCAAACAAATCTATCTTCGTGTTGTTGTTAAGTACCATGGAGCGATTCCGACTCATAGTGACCCTGTACAGGGTTTCCGAAGCTGCAAATCTTTATGGGAGCAGAAAGCCTCACCATTCTCCTGCAGAACAGCTGGTAGTTTTGAACTGCTAACCTTGAGGTTAGCAGCCCGATTCGTAACCACTATACTACCAGAGCTCCTTAAATCTATCTTGTTGTTGTTAAGTGCCGTCGAGTCGATTCCCAACCCATAGCGACCCTGTACAGGGTTTCCAAGGCTGCAAATCTTGACGGGAGTAAAAGTCTCATCTTTCTATCGCGAAGCAGCTGGTAGTTTCAAACTGTTGATCTTAAGGTTCGCAGCCTGATTCATAACTACTATGCTACCAGAGTTCCTTAGGAAGTACAAAAAGCTACAACACTTTTTGGAAGACAGAGTTGTGAGACTTTGTCTCTCATTCTTAAGTGCCTCTGAGTTAGTTACAGCTCATAACACCCCTGTGTAGGATTTCCAAGGAGCAACTGGTGGGTTTGAACTGCTGACCTTGTGGTTATCGGTCCAGCTTATCATACAGCTCCACACCAGAATTCTTCTGACATATTAGGAGGGACCAATCCCTGGAGAAGGACAACATGCTTGGAAAATCGGAGGGTCAGCAAAAAAGAGGAAGAACCCCAAGGAGCTGGATTGACACCGTGGTAGCAATGGGCGGAAATGCAACACTTGTGAGATGGCACAGGACAGGGCCTGTGTTTGTTTCTGTTGTATCTAGGCTCGTTATAAGGCAGAACTGACTTGATGGCACTTAACAGCAACAATATGGCTGATTTCAGCCTGGGAATTAAGCAGTTGTAACAGAGGCTCTTGCAGTTTAGTGGTTACGAACTGGGCTGCTAATCTCACTGTCAGCAGTTCGAAACTACCAGCTGTTCCACAGGAGAAAGATGAGGCTTTCTGCTCCCGTAAAGATTTACAGCCTCGGAAACCCTATACAGGGTCGCTATGAGTCGGAACTGACTCCACGGCACATTACCAACAACAACAGAGGGTCTGGTGTGATGCTGTAGGGTAAGCACTAGACTGCAACGTCGGATGAACAACAGGATCTGCAGTTCAAACTCAGCGACCATTCCTCAGGAAACCCCATACAGGGTCGCTATGAGTCATAATCCACTCAAAGGCACTCAACAAAAAATAAAGAGACGCTTGAAAGAGCCCGGGAAGCACAGCGGCTTACAAACTGTACTGCTAACCGCAAGGTCAGTAGGGCAAATCTACCAGCCACTTTGGGAAGAAACACATCTTTCTGCTCCGTGCAGATTTATAGCCTGGGAAGCCCTCTACAGGGTGGCCGTAAATCGGAACTGACTCCTCAGCACATCACCACCACCACCAATAAAGGTTCTGAACTCCTGGTGTGGTGTTGTAGGTTAAGCACTGAACTGCTAACCACAGGTTCAAACCCACTAGCCACTCCTGGCAATCCTATACGGGGTCACTATGAATCCAGAAGTGTTAGATAATGAATTTCTGTTTGTTGAAATCATACACTTCTGTTATTTCTGACACAGCGCATTAGAGAAAGGGACAATCATGAAAACAACACTGCTAGTTTAAGTTCCTGTTTGGGCCCAGGGGCGGAACGTGGCCAAAACCAAAGGGAGTATGCAAAATCACAGTCATTATCTCTGAAGAGGTGCTGCAGGATGAGCACTGCAAGGCTAGCGGTTCAAACCCAAAAGCTGCCACTTGGAAACTCTATAAAGGGTCGCAATGAATGGAAACTGATTCTATGGTACTTAACAACTGTTATCTCTGAAAAGTGTCAGAGCTGTATTTCCCTGGAAAATACACAAAGACAATAAAAATGACTTCTTCCATAACTCATAACCAAGAGCTGACGGTTTAACTCACCAATCTGACAGATGGTAAATTGCTGGACACTCTGCCGGGTCTTTAGATACCACTCGGATGGCAGGTCAAACAGACTGTGAAGAGGAACGGCAGAAGCCCAGGCACTCTGTCTGTCTGTCTGTCTGTCTGTGCTCGCAGCCACCAGCCCCGCCCTCCGGGGAGCGCTGTTCCTGGCCACCCCACCAGGGAACCGACGGCCAGCAGCTAGTGCGCAGAGCTGGCCGGGCACGCAGGGGCGCCCCACATGCGGGGCCACGTCCTGACCGCCCACCCCATGCAGGCATGGCACCCCGCCGTAACAGGGGTTTCCTGGAGCTCAGCCCTGAATGCTTCAGCTTTACCTGATCTGCTGGGGTCCGGACATGCTGGAGCGCAGGCCGGTGAACTCAATGTCCAGACCTGCCGGAGAGCGGGCGGAGAAGACCAAGAAGACCACTGAGGAGGCCCTAGACGCTCCTGGCCACAAACATTGTGGGTGCACGAGAAGCCCGGGGGCACAGAGGCGGCCGAAGCTCCAGAGGCCTGGCCACCCCAAACGACTGCCCAGCCCCGAGGACTGAAACCTGCCCGGCTTCCCGCCCGAGGTGCCTGGGACCCCGAGACTAGGCCGGGCCTAACTTGGGACGGAGACCCCAGCTCAGGCACAATGCCCGTGCCCAGCGCCCCCAGCCACCCCCTGCATGTCCCCACCGGGGTTCCAAACACCGCACCCACGAAATCAGCTCCGAGAACCAACTTCTGCAGCAGCGGCAGAATCTGCTCGAACTCCCCAGCGCCCACGTCCATGGCCGATCAGGTCCCCGGCACTAATGGAGGCCACGTGGTGCCCGCCGCGTGCGGCTCGCTTCCGGCCACCTCCCGCCGACACGGCCTTAAAGGGCGCGTACCGGAAGCAGCCAACCACCCGGTTCTGGGCGCCTCCAGGCCCGGCTCGACACCTCAGTACTGGTGTTTCAGTCCGCCACTTGCTCGCAAAGGGCTGGTGCAAACAGTAAACGTGCTTTGTTGGTTACCAATCCACGCAAAAGGCGTGGGATCTACGTCAAAAAAACAAACAAACCAAAAACCAGCCAATAAGAACCCCGTGGAGCACAGTTATGCTCTGATATACATGGGGTCGCCAAGAGTGAATCACTCCATAGAATTTTTTTTTTTTTTAACCACGCCTGACTGGCTTGTTTTATTGATGGAGACGTGGAGTTGACAATGTGAAGACAGTTGGGACCTGAGAATGGGAAGAAGACCCTCCCCTCCCCACACATTCCCAACTGTCCCAAATAAAAAATAACCAACTATGGGATAGCAGCCGAAACAGTGATGGAGGGCTGGGACGGGGACACCAAACCGAGGGCAGCAGTGAGGAGACCATGCGCGTGCTGGGAGGCCCAAGGCGCCAGCTGGCCGAGTCTCTCATCCTTCACGTCAGTGGATACAGGGACCACTGGCTTCCCCTTCTCTCCCTTCTGCTCCGCTGCTTGCTGCGCTCCCAGCTCTTCTTTCTCTTGGGGTGAAGGGAACGCGGCTGCGCAAGTCATCACCGAATCGCAATCAGACCCACATCCATCAGCTTCTGGATTTTCTGAGCTATTACTGGATTCTTCAGGTGTTCTCTGAGTGCCTGGGGGTCCTTCTGCATTTGCTCCAGGATGAGCCGCATGGTGGGGTCACTCATGTCTCTTGACATCCTCCGGGCTGTCGTGCCAGTTGTGCTGGGACATCATGCAGCGTTGGTAACCATCTGCCGCCTCCTTACAGTTGGAGTCCAGGTCTAGGGCCTTCTGGTAGACATCCATGGCTTTTGTGTAGTCCTTTATGGCCTCAAGGGCAGCCGCTTTCCGCGTATAACCCTTAATGAAGGTTGGCTCTAGCTGGATACACTCCTCACAGTCCTTCAGCGCCAGTTGAAGCTCCAGTAGCTTGGTGTAACGAACAGCTCGATTGCTGTAAAGTTTGGCATCACGTGGGTTCTGCTTGATGGCTTCTGTGTAATACTTCATGGCCTGGGGGTAGTCCCCTTTCTGGAAACACTCGTTGCCTTTGTTCTTTTCCTCCAGAACCAGGTCAGGGTTTATGTGGGCCAGCTGCTCCTGCTCCTTTAGGATTTTCTCTGCATGCTGGCATTTCGTAAGCACATCCAGGGTCCCGTGTTCTGCCAGAGATTTGTTGTAGAAATGGATAGCATCTTTGTACTTTTCCTCTTTGAAGTTGTTGTTGTTGTCAGGTGCCATCGAGTCGGAACCGACTCATAGCGATCCCATGCACAGCAGAACGAAACAATGTC